ACAAATGAGGACAATAAAAGCAGTCAAAACTAACAAAAGAGCAGTGCTATTTAAGTAAAGTGACAAGTCTCGGTCAGTTTAACACAGTACACGTAGCAAGGGGTTTTTTTGTAATAAAAAAAGAAAACAAGTGGATAGAATAAAAAAAAGAATAGAGAACGCTAGTGTTAGAGGATCAATTTGGTAAAAAGAAAAAGAAAATAAGTCACAAAAATAGAAAAATAATAGAGAATGCTATAAAAGGTCATTTTTTTAAATAAAAAGAATAGAAATCGAATAGAAACTGCTATAGTTAGAGGCTATAGCCTATAAAACGCTCGTTTAGTATAGTTTAGTTTAAGTTAATTTAATAGTTTAATTAAATATAAACGTGTGGTTACTAATGGCTTAAATGAGCGACTAATAGCCCTTTTAATAATAATAATAATAATAATACAAGGAAGGAACGCGCGTCGCCTGATCCACAAATGCACATTTTAATCGCTACATGCACAAATGATGATACTTTAATACAAACTATAACATTTGTATTCACAAATATGTCTCTACTTGAAGAAAATGCTGCACATTAATGTAATTCTTAACTCTGCAGGCACCGGTTGAAAAGCATTTGTTTCAGTGTAGTGACGCACATTTGCAAATTTTTCAAATCGAGTACACGTTAATGAATTGCACTGGGCCTTGTTCGTTGGTAGTTGTGTGTGTGGGGGGGACGTGAAATGCTGTAAACTGCGAAAATGAAGTCTCAAAATCCAAATAAACCGAACAAGATCGACTCGAACTAGACGTCAATTAATGCACGCGTGTCACCTGATCCACATATGCACGGATTCCTTTTTGCATGAGCAATTTATGATATATGAATGCAGAACAGAACATTTTTATTCGCAAACATGTCTGTATTTGTACAAATCGCTGCACAATCATTTAATCCTGAATTCCACAGACTCAAATTGAAAGGCATTTGTTTGTGGTTAGTAAGATACATGTATAAAATGTATGCAGTGCATGGATAATTGTGCGAGCATCTATTAATCTTTTAGAGTCTAATATCATCCCATATGTCCCTTTCTTGAACAAGCTTGATTCTTGTCCATCAACCATGTTGAATTAGTTTGCAAAATGCACTGAAAAATGTATGTTCTCAAGTCGATAACTCACTGATCCGAGCGGGTCTCACTGAATTGGTCATGTGTGACTCAAAAAGAGCCAACAACTGCGAGATCCTCAGAGCTTGAGTTTGCACGTTACTGACAGCATGAAGTTACTAATGCTGAATTTGAGCATTTATTATAAATGAAAATCATATTTAGGTTGTTTGTAAACTAAATCCAAGTCCAAGTAAAGCCAAGTCAAGTGTATTTGTGTTGACGCTTTGTACAATGCACATTATTTCAAAGCAAAGGTCCGCTGGATGATGGGTCCCTGGCGTTTTGTGCAAACTGCAGGTTTTACGGATCAACACTGTGTTCATAGTTCATAGTCATCCAGTTTGAAATGGAGACTTCATTCACCGTTACGTTGTTCTCACCATATTTATGACTAAATATTATGATATTTGACTCTGAACATTCAGGAGGAGCAGACTGGGAGTGGCCTTGGATGGCAGCATGCCCAGTGCATTATGGGTGTTGAAGTTTTTCTCTTGTCAGGGAGCACTGATCTCAACAATGTTTTTGCCTTTCTACTGCATAGGCAGCTCATCTCTGCAGCGGTGAAGTTCCCCTTCAATATCTTCATGCGTTATAGTTGTATTTAACAGATTAGAGATGGACGATAATATACAGTAGTTTACATTTTTCAACAGTATAAACAATCAAGCATTTGAGATTGGCTGTATAGTATATAGTATTAGCTTTACGTGAGTGTACTGTATGCATGCGGATAAAGTAGGATGTATATATCTAACTTTAAATATATCGATGGGTGATATTTCTGTCGCATTTTGCATCAAAAAAGGCTGAACTGTTTTACGTGTCACAGTCTGTACAGGGTAGGTTACTTTAGGTAAAATCTAAATTAACAACGTTAAAATAACCCAAATGAATGCCCAATGAAAGTGCCATACTCGGTTTGCATCATAATGCATCAGACAGCGCAGGAGATGAAAACTATGAATGTGCATAAAACAGTGAACCTCAGCACTTTATGGAGTTCATCATAATTTTCTCTGAAATCTTGGTGGTATTACTCCGCACGGCTGACTGCGAGCGGTCTTCACGAATCACAGCGCTCTGCTTGATTAGGTCCGTGTGTTAAACAGAATGAATCTCGCACACGATGACAACACTGGTTTGAGTGATGTGTCCAGAACAGCTGGCGTGTAGATCTGGTCAGTCTGTGATGGATTTACGGAGTCTGTGATCAGCAGTTGTGTTTGCAGCGTGTGGAAGATCGGCGGGGGTCTGCTCATCCTGGTGGTGTGCACCATCAACATGTACTTTGTGGTGGTGTATGTGACGGCCCTCAACAGCACCATCCTCTACGTCTTCTCTGCCCTCCTCTCCATCGCCTATCTCAGCTTCATCATCTACCTGGTGAGCCATCTCTCCGTTTCATGTTCAAGTTCTGTCTTAATGTGCTCCTTAAACCTGTATGAATGAGAAATGCTGCCGAATGTGCAGAGGAAGAACAAGAACCCCTTCACTGGTCATGGGTGTGTTTCTCAGGGCTGATCTGTGTGTGTGTGTGTGTGTGTGTGTCTCCTCAGGTGTGGCACTGTCTGATCTCTCTGGGCGTCTCTTGTCTGGATTGCAGAGGTTCGGTTCAGTATCCCCCCTCTGTTCTTGTGGATGAACAGCCAGAGTTTGATTCCTGAGCCAAACATCCGATCACGTCCAAAGAATGAACTACGCTCATTTGCTATGTGAGGAACGTCCTTACTGTAACAAACCGCACAATCCAAATATTTGACTTTATCTTTGTTTCCTTGCATCAGTTCCTGCTCCATGGCTCCTTGCTTTGCCGTGTTTATAGATCTACTGTTGTACGTCTGGCCGAACTGAGTTGAGTTCATGTAAGTGCAGATCTACTGTGCTCCTCGAATAACATGTTTACTACCAACAGCTGCACAAATATGGGATGAAATCATTCCTTGCAGAAAGTGCACAGAACGGTCTGTACAATCAGTTTAACAGTTCAAATTAGACTCTCTAACTTACTAATGACTATAATAATAATAATTCGCTTTGGTGTTTATCAAACAACACAAAATATTCAAACTTTTGTTTACACTTATACATTTTTGCATCGGTCTAAAACAAGCCAGCCCAGAAAAGAGATTGTAAATATGAATAACATATCATTTTTATTATTATTCTCTATTTAAATTTTCATAACCCATTGATGTTCTTACTTCATTAAAGCATTAACTTCACTCAATTTTGATACATTACTCTGAAAGCCACACAATAGAGTACTTTTTGGACAAAAAAATGGTTTGTGACAAGCCTTGAATCGTGAATGACATGATGACAGAACTGAACAGCAGTGCATTTTCTGCATTTGCCGTGAATTCAGTAATATCTCTCATTATTGATTTCTGTCCTGTTTTATTTATTCATTTATTTACTGCAATTTAAGGCCCTGAAACCCAGCAAAACATTCACAGGGGAACTCGAGGGCCGGATTTTAACCCCAGCCAGCCCTGATTAAAACTAATTACTTGAGTCTCTATGCATACACTCACCTGAAATATAAAGTAAGTGCACTTTAAGTCCACTGTCAACTGTAAAATACTTATTTTGTTTCCTTTTTTCAAGTTATCCTAGTTGTCTCTGGCTGTCCGTTTAATTTCAGGTCAGATCTGCCTTCACAAGATTTATGAGAAGTCAGTACACTGATGTGTAGATGTGATGAAACTCCAGGCTGTTTCTAATAGTATGGACACATCAGTTTGAGTTAAACAGGCCTCATGAAACAGTCTCAGATTAGCTCCATAATGTAATGTCCTGTCAATAATGCTCACGTCACATTTTGGTTGTGGTTCATGGTCTTGATATTATAAACTATTGGTTGTTTTGCAGAGATATTCTCAGTTTTATTCATTCTGTTTTCTGCATCTTCTGGTTAATAATTCAGTATTTGAAACAGCCCTTGTGAAAAAGAATGTCAGCATACTTTTAAAAAGAGTACTTGTCACGGAAAGAATATACTTTAGGAGAATGTATTTAAAGCAGCTGTATTATTTCTAGATAATTCTGCTGGTACACTGATTTCTAATAAGGTGAATGGCTTGTGTTTCTTTCTCCAAAAACGTCTGTTCTGGGAGAAATCCCAGGAAAAGTCCGGATTGTTTTACAGCAGAAACAAATGCACATGTACAGCTACTGTATCTCTGTAATGACGACAGTGTTATATACGACAGCCGATTCTGTACAGGGCTCCAGAGTCACAAACAGAGGGTTCTTTAATGCATGATTTCATTTACCTTTAAAGTCAATGCTTTAACTTTACTGTAAAACTTTTAAGTAGACATTGTTTAAAGGTGTTGTCTTATGTTGTGTTGTTATGTTGTCTGCAAGTAGAGACACTTTTAAGATCTGAAGTACACTAAGAAGTGCACATTAAGCACACTTCACAAGCATACACATCAATGAAGGGAAAACCTGTGAGCCTCCTTTGTCTCTTTGACATCAGCTGTAGAGATTAAAAGATCAGTAGCTAAGTGATCACTTTTGGTGAGCTATTAGAGTAAAGCTTCATCAAGCAGCACTAAATCTCCTGTAAAACACAAGCGCTCTCCCCGAGAGACAGGGCTTCAGCGTGATGCTTCAGAGACTTACACCATGCTCCGTCTCACGTTTGTTCATTCAAACACGTCTGGAAGATGCTTTCATCCAAAGCATTTGCTGTAGAAACAATCTTAGAAATGTGAAGTAGAAAAACTGAAATAGCGTTTTCTTGTAAAACACTTCAATAAGTTTTTGTTTCATTTACAACTTGTTGAGCTGCAGTAAATGGCATCAGCTTCATTCGTGATGTCCTAAAGATATCTTATAGAAGACATTTCTGTTTAATTTACATAGTTTTAGTAGTTTTGGTGTGAGGAACGAATTCATCATGTAAATGAAGCCTTACTAAGACAGAAACATGAACACATCAGCTCTTCCGTCTGTAATCCGATTAGTAGTCATTGTGGTTAATGGATGTGTTGCGTAGGTTCGTCCCCGATGACATGAGCAGCACTTTAATGGCATATCCCTGTGTGTGTGTGTGTGTGTGTGTGTGTGTGTGTGTGTGTGAGTGTGTGTGTGAGAGTGTGTGTGTGTGTGTGTGTGTGTGTGTGAGTGTGTGTGAGTGTGTGTGTGAGAGTGTGTGTGTGTGTGTGTGAGAGTGTGTGTGTGTGTCAGGCTTCAGCCTGAGTTAGAAAACACTGTAACAACCTCATTATGAGGGCAAAAGGATATTTTTCCATTGTTGGCTATTCAAAATTGGCTGTGTATTCTACCATAGTAAGATTGCTGTAAGCATTTAAAACATTATATAACATTACATTATAAAACAATGCAATTTATTTGTAACATTTTTGTCAAAAAAATGAATGGGATCAGAACTAGTGCTCTTGCTTAACTCATGATTAACTCAGATGCAATAGGACTCTGTTTCAGTCCGTTTGAAACCGTGCCACTCTCTGAAGTTCATGATATTATTTTTCATTTAAAGCCTTCATTTTGCCCCGGTTACGCAGTCTCATTGCGCATTCTTAAGGATGGCATTGATATTGTCAGTCAGAGTATTTTATCGATAAGATATAAGATATTAGAAAAAGTTGTCTTGAGACAACTTAATACTTTTTTAACCAATAATATCTTAGATACATTTCAGTCAAGCTTTAGGTGCAGACATAGTACTAAGTCAGCACTCTTACGGGTAGTGAATGATATTTTGCTCATAAGCGATGCAGGGAATCATGCTGCCCTAATTCTATTGGATCTATTAATTCTATTGGTTTGTCAAAATCCAAGAAACAGTTCATACATGGTTTGCATTCTATTTAGAGCAAAGCTCTTTTACTGTGAAGGTTAGTAATTGTTATTCACATTCTGCACATCTTTCCAGTGGGGTCCCTCAAGGATCCATTCTGGGCCCTGTTTTGTTTTCACTATATATGCTCCCATTGGGAATGATTTTTTTTTTAAATATGGCATTTCTTACCATCTATACACGGATGAAACGCAGACCTGTTTGCCTCTAAGACCTAATTGTAATGTTTGGTAACACTTTACTTGAAGGGGTGTGCATAAGACTGACATGACACCTGCATAATTATGACATATGAATATGAAGGAAGTTTTATGCATGTTTATGACAACTGTCATTAAGTGTCATTCACTCAGTTATGTAATTTTTAATGCAAATATGACATTATTTGACCTAACCATAGCCCATAACAAAGACATCTCAAACAATGTCATCTTTGCATTAAAAATTACATAACTGAGCGAAGGACACTTAATGACGTTTGTCAAAATCCAAGAAACAGTTCATACATGGTTTGCATTCTATTTAGAGCAAAGCTCTTTTACTGTGAAGGTTAGTAATTGTTATTCACATTCTGCACATCTTTCCAGTGGGGTCCCTCAAGGATCCATTCTGGGCCCTGTTTTGTTTTCACTATATATGCTCCCATTGGGAATGATTTTTTTTTAAATATGGCATTTCTTACCATCTATACACGGATGAAACGCAGACCTGTTTGCCTCGAATGACAGTTGTCATAAACATGCATAAAAAACCTTCATATTCATGACATGTGGAGGTGAAGGTGTCATGTCAGTCATGTGGAGGTGAATTATGAAGGTGTCATGTCAGTCTTATGCACACCCCTTCAAGTAAAGTGTAACCTAATGTTTCCTGTGCAACACTCTGTGGATGTCTGGATGAAGTGAAAGATTGGCTTGCTGACAGTCTGGTTCAGTTGAATGAACGCAAAACAGAAATTATGATTTTTGGTCGTTCAGTTTTTAATAAGACTGAAAGTGACATATTAGGCCCTTGGGCTTGCTACCTACAGGACAGAGTAAATAACTCATTTTCGATTCCTTGGTAAAATTTGATAATCATATAAAATCTGTATTTTAGTTTTTAGTTTTAGTTTTTTTTTTTTATCTGAGGGCAATAGCTAAATTAAAATAATTTCTTTCAACTAGTGATAATTTCTTTCAAATGCAGCTGTTAGAATGCTGTTGTAAGCGAGGGCAATAGCTAAATTAAAATAATTTCTTTCAACTAGTGACTTAGAAAAAATTATCCATGCTTTCATCTTTTCCCGTTTAGATTATTGTAATGTTATTTATTGTCATTGTCACGTTGCACGTCTCCAGCTAGTACAAAATGCAGCTGTTAGAATGCTGTTGTAAGGTAAGAAAACTGATCATGTTACCCCACTGTTATCCTCATTAGGCTGGTTACCAGTGCATTACAGGATCCAATAAAAGGTCTTGACATACGTTGTTAAGGCATTGCATGGAATGGCGCCAGCAAAACTTGGTGGAGCTTATTAAACCATATAATATAAATATAAAGCTGAGATCCTCAAACAAATTATTATCAACAATCCCAAGAGTGCGTCTTAAATCTAAGAGTGACCGTGCTTTTGCTGTCGCTGGCCCAAGATTATGGAACAACCTACCTTTTGAAGTTAGATCATCCCTTACGCTAAGTGCCTTCAAGTCCTGCTTAAAGTCATATCTGTTCTCTCTGGCATTTTAACCTTTTGTTGGATTATTTATCATTGATGTTGTTGTCATTTTGTTTGAATTATCTTGTTTATTGCTACCTTAATTATTTGTGATGTACAGCACTTTGGAGTTACTGTGTAGCCTGAAAAGTGCTCTATAAATAAATGAATACAAAAACACAATACAATATATTAGAGACACGTATGACGTCATAAAGGGCACAATTCCTTGAATGGGCACTTACATACACTTACTTACATTTTAGCAGAAAGTGTATGTTATGTCCGCTTTAATGAAGCGATTTTGAACATGTCATCAGGCTGTCAGTTTTCCTGATTGATATGAGGAAAGAAGGAGCTGGCCAGTGTGTTGGGAGCATTGCCAACTGTTCTGTATAATACGAAATCGTCCCGTATTTAAGGCATCAAAGAAGTGCTCCGTATGAAGGCCATACAGAACGCAGTTTGTCCCATATTTGTAGGCATATGACC